TTCTCGTGAACCTTCAATTGCCGCGAAACATATGCAATCACCCTGTCATCTTGCATCAGTACTGCACCGAGCCTAATACGAGATGCATCACAATACACCGTATAAGATCATGGACCTATGGGCAACACCAACACTGGCACCGTCAAAGTAGTCTTGAGCTTCTGAAAGCTCAACTCACACTTGTCCGACCATCTGAATAGGGCACCCTTTTGGGTCAATCTAGTCAATGGGAGATAATAACTCGCCAAACCCAGGAAACTCCGGATCTCTGTAGCTGAAGTAGGTCTAGGTTAGTTCTAAACTTCATCAATCTTCTTAGGATCCACCTTTATGCCCTATACCGATACAACATGCCCCAAAAAGGCGACTGAGTCTAGCAAAAACTCACACTTTGGAAATTTGGCATACAACTGGTTATCTCTCAGAGTCTGAAGTATAATCCAAAGATGTTGCTCGTGCTCCTCTCGATTGCGGAAGTAGATCAAGATATCATCAATGAATACAATCACAAAGGAATCCAAATAGGGCTTGAATACCCGGTTCATCAAGTACATGAATGTTGCTGGGGCATTTGTCAACCCAAATGACATCACTAGGAACTCATAATGCCCATACCGAGTCTGCAAAGCTGTCTTAGGGACATCAGATGCCCTAATCTTCAACTAATGGTCAAATCAATCTTCGAAAATACCTTGGCACCTTTTAGTTGATCAAAGAAGTCATCAATCCTCGGCAACGAATACTTGTTGTTGATGGTCACTTTGTTCAACTGTCGATAATCTATACACATCCTCATCGAACCATCCTTCTTCTTTACAAACAACACGGGCGCACCCCAAGGAGAGACATTAGGTCTAATGAACCCCTTATCAAGCAAATACTACAATTTCTCCTTCAGTTCCTTCAAATCATGTCGCGCCATATGGTATGGCGAAATAGAAATGGGCTGAATGCCCGGAGCCAAATCAATACATAAGTCAATATCCCTGTCGGGTGGCATCCCCGGCAGATCTGCAGAAAATACCTATGGAAACTCACGCGCAATTGGTATTGAATCCATAGAAGGAATCTCCTCACTAGAATCATGAACGTAGTCCAAATATGCTAGACAACCCTTCTCGACCATATGTCGAGCCTTCACAAAAGAAATAATATTTCTAGTAGAATGGCTAGGAGTCCCCCTCTACTCTAATCGAGGTAACCTCGGCATAGCTAAGGTCATCGTCTTGGCGTGACAGTCCAATATAGCATGGTAAGGTGACAACCAATCCATACCCAAGATAACAGCAAAGTCCACCATATCAATAAGTAGGAGATCTACATTAGTCTTAAGACTCCCAATGGAAACCATACATGAGCGATAAATATGATCTACAACAATAGAATCTCCCACAGGTGTGGACACATACACATAAGCACTCAAAGAATCACGAGGTACAATCAAATATGAAGCAAAATAGGATGACACGTACGAATAAGTAGAGCCCAGATCAAATAGAACTGAAGCATCTCTATGGCAAACTGGAACAATACATGTGATAACAGAGTCATATGACTTGGCCTCAGGCCTAGCTGGGAAATCATAACATTGGAGCTAGGCCCCACCACTCTGAACTATGTCTCTGGGATGGCCTCTAGATGGCTGGCATCCACCTCTAATGGCCCGACCTCTACCTCTGGCTACCTGACCCCTACCTCTGGCTACCTGACCCCTACCTCTAGTTGGTTGCGCGAGCGGCGGGGCAACCAGTGTTGGTATAATGGCACGAGAACCCTGCTGAGATCTGCTGCTCGACAATCTAGGGCAATACCTCCTAATGTGACCTATGCCCTCACACTCAAAGCAACCCCTCGACTGCTAAGAATGCTAAAATGAAGACTGACCCTGACGGTCCGAATAGCTGCTGTAGTAACTCTGTAGCGGTGGTGCACTGATAGGAGCTGAATATGCACTGAATGTTGGCTTCTTAGGACGAGACCCTTAAGAGCCACGTCCTCCCGAAGCACTGTGGGCTACCTAAAATTTGACTTAAACGGCCTAGGAGGATGGCCTCTACCAAAAGAACCCCTGCCTCCATACGAGGCACCACTGAACCCACCAAAATGAAGAGGCCTCTTATCAGACACCGGCCCTCTCTCCTGTGCACGAACCAGCTCGATCCGTCTTGCAATATCTACAGCCGTCTGGAAGGAAATATCACTCCCGGTCTCCTTGGCCATATGCAGTCTGATAGTGTAAGTAAGTCCACGAATCGAGTCTCTTACTGGGTGACGGTCATACTACCCTATTGAAGACACTCAAACAGCCTGTGGTACTCCACTCTTAGAGTGACAGAGATGAATGATATTCGGCTTAATATATGCATATTATGATGTATACTACCTCGCATTATGCTCATGTCTCATAGATTTTGGATGTATAATATGATGATTTGTGCTAATTTGTGATATTTCAATATGTAGGAATCATTCAGATGCGATTTAGGATAAAAGTGCGCGAATTGGAGCAAAAATGGGAAGAAAAGGCAAAAGTGCACATTTGAGGGCCACAGGCAGCGTGGGGCGCTGCCTGTGGCTCACAAAACAGAAAGTTGAGCGCCAGGGCCAACGCCCCACGCTGCCCTGGATGCTCAAAATGGGAACATGTCCTATTTCGACTATGCCTCAATTATTTTGACCCCAAGACTCCCCCAACTCATATAAAAGCCAACCTAAACCTATTTTTGAGGGAGAGGGCGTGACTTTGAGAGAGAAACAAAAGTATGAAATACTCGGGATCACGAATTTGATCAATATTTCCATTCTTCTTCTAGTATTCATTGATTTTATGTTTGAAAACATTATTTTTGATGATTGTATGAAACATGAGTGGCTAAGAACCCTATTGTTCTGGGGTCATGGGTGCTACATGAATGTTGACGTTTGAAGTTGAAATTGACGAGTTTGATTTTATCATATTGGGTTGTTTATTTAATTCTGTTTTTAATTATTTTGCTGAGTAGCTAACAGCGAAATACTATCTATGAATCTAGAGTTGAACTCGAAAATAGGAATTCTAGATTGCATATAGAATTAAATAGAGCAAGTTCTTGAACCCGGGCATCGGGGAACAGACTCGCACTTAGGATAGAAATATACCTAATTGCCTTGCTTGGTTGAAATACAGGAAGTGTAAATGCATTCTTGTTAATCTTTATTCCATAGACATATAGGCATTAAGTTAGCTTGAATAGGCGAGTAAGAACTCAACAGATTCTTATGAGCAATATCAACCATGTCAATCAACAACCCAGATAAATAAATTAGTCATTTTCACCCAAAAACGCAGCAAGATTGTTAGCTAGCCTATGACCCTAGAATACTCTCTCCCACTAATTGTTATTCGAAATTACTTAAGTGTTGTGGTTCATTTCAAGTTATTTCATTACTTGATATTCTCTTAGGTAGTAAATTAATCACTTACACATTTTTGTGAGAAATCTCTTGAATCGATAAGTTATTTGAGTTTGAATCAGTCAAAAGTTAATCATAAGTCTTTGTGGGAACGATACTCTACTTACTACTCTATTACGTGACGACCACGTATACCTGCGTGAGTGTGTTTGGTCGCAACAAGTTTTTGGCGCCGTTGCCGGGGACTTAGAAATTAGCTACTTGTCTGAGTTAAGCTTTTATTAGTTATCTGTTCAAGTTTTAATTTTCAGTTTACCTTGTTTGTGTTAACGCAAGCTCTTCTCTTGAATGCGGAGGAGTAGAAGCGCAAACAATATCCTTCCCCTTAATCTTGAAATTGAACGAATACTTCACAGAGTGAGGAGGGAAGTCAAAACTAGAACTAGAATATAAAGAGAGTTGGACATCGTAGTTTAACCACAACCAATAGAGATGGAAGGTAATGAAGAGAATCCGGTGATAGAAGCCGCAAGGCCCAATCTTTCAAATATGACTCAGGCTATTGTGAAGCCCGATATCACGGGTCACTTTGAACTCAAACAGTACATGGTACAACTGATTCAGTCCACAGGGCAATATGTGGGTCTATCTCATGAAGATCCGTAGAGGCACATTAAGAACTTCCTGGAAATTACAGACACTTACAATTATCGGAACGTTTCCAAGGACTATGTCAGGCTGACATTGTTTTCCTTTTCACTGCTGGGGGAAGCTAAGAAATGGTTGCAAAAAGAGCCTGCTAACTCAATCCACACTTGGGATGATCTAGCAAGGAAATTATTAATCAAGTTTTTCCCCACTAAGAAGACAAAGTCATCGAGGAGCCAGATTCTTAGGTTCAACAACGGGATGGTGAGACTCTTTGTCAAGCTTGGGAAAGATACAAGAAGCTACTCAGAGACTGACCGCATCATTGTCATACTGATGAGGTGTTGGGTTATACTTTCGTTGATGGGCTAGACGAGACATCAAAGATGAATCTTGATTCAGTTTGTGGGGGTAGTTGCATGGCGAGGCCGTATAGTGAAATCCAGCTCCTGCTAAACAACTTCACTACTAATGACCATAAGTGGAAAGGAGGTGAGGAATCACGAAGAGCAATTAAATAGAAAGCAGCCGGTGTAATTGAGCTTGATGACTTCTCAGCCATGAGAGCAGATATAGCAAAATTGGCAAATAAGATGAATAGAATGACAATGCACCAAACATAACAGATTCTACTTGCTGTGAATTATCTGGTGACAGTCACACGAGTGACATGTACCCCACAAATCCTGAATCTATATACTATGTGGGGCAACCGAGTAGAGGTCCGATGAACCAGCATTCACAATAGGGGAACACTTACAATCCAAATTGGAAGAATCATCCTAACTTCTCATGGGGTGGAAATCAGCCGACTCAGAATTATTATAGGCCCCAAGGAAATTTTAATCAACCTCAGAAGCCACACCAGCAAGTAGATGAAAGCACGAATGACATGTTGAAGAAGTTGCTGCTTGATAACCAACAACTCCCGGACCGATTTCAGAAATATCGAGAGACAAATGAGGCAGTTAGCGTCAAATCAAAATACTAGACCTGTAGGCGCTCTTCCCAGTGATACAGGGAAGAACCCTCAAGTTAATGCAGTTACACTCAGAAATAGGAGGGAATTATAAGAAGTGCCAAAGAAGAGAAAGGACAAGCCTATACCTGAGGGGGAGTTGATTCCTAAGGCAACACATGAGTCAAAGAAAGATGATGCAAGTTCAGAGCCAGTGAATGCTGCAAGGCCACCACCACCTTTTCCCCAAAGATTGCAAAAGAAGAATGATGACCGCATGTTCAACAAATTCCTCTCTATGTTGAGCCAGGTTCAATTAAATATTTCATTGGTAGATGTACTTCGCTAAATTCCAAAGTATTCTAAGTACATAAAGATATAGTGGCTCATAAGAAGAGATTGACTGAATTCAAGACAGTCGCACTTACTGAGGAGTTCACTTCAAGAATCCAAAACAAGCTTCCTCAAAAGCATAAGGATCCTGGTAGTTTCACCATCCCTGCGCGGATTGGTAATATCGATGTGGGTCGTGCTATTTGTGATTTGGGGGCGAGCATAAATCTGATGCCCTTGTCCTTGTTCAAACAATTAGGCCTGAGAGCTCCAAGACCAACCACATTGATGTTGCAACCAGCTGATAGATCCATAGCCTACCTTGAAGGAGTGGTTGAAGATGTGTTGCTGCAAATTGGAAAATTCATCTTCCCCGCGGACTTCATTATCCTAGATTATGAGGATGATGAATAAGTTCCAATCATATTGGGATGACCTCTCTTGGCTTCAGGTGATGCAATTATTAAAGTGAGAGAGGGAAAAATGATTACGAGGGTGGACAACGTGGAAGCAGTTTTTAATGTCTACAAGGCGATCCAACTTCCCCGCCATTATGAGGAGCTCTCTATGATATCTGTTGCGGAGGTGAATGGGCAACTTATTGACATGAGTGTACATCTAGACGATTCTCTAGAGAAAGCACTCATGTTATTCGACAACTTGGAGATTGATGATGAGGTTGAGGAGATGATGCATATCCTAGATGCATCATGTACTTACATGCGGGTATTAAACCTCTTTGAGCCCCTAAATAGGCAAAGTGGGCCTCCTCCAAAGCCCTCGATTGAAAAAGCTCCTAAACTGGAACTTAAACCCTTTCCCTTCACCTTCAATATGCTTATTTGGGTGGTTCTGGCACTCTACCTGTTATTGTTTATTCTTGCTTGTCTAAATTGCAGGAAGAAAAACTGTTGAGAGTGCTACGTGAGCACAAGCGAGCAATAGGGTGGACGATGTCTGACATTAGAGGCATTAGTCCAACTTTCTGCATGCATAAAATCCTCATGGATGAGGGGCACAAACCAAGTGTAGAGCAACAACGCCGCTTAAATCCAATCATGAAAGAGGTGGTAAGAAAAGAAGTGATTAAGTGGCTTGATACAAGTATTGTATTTCCAATATCTAATAGCAAATGGGTAAGCCCCGTACAATGTGTGCCTAAGAAGGGGGGATGACTGTAGTGGTTAATGAAAATAATGACCTGATTCCTACAAGAACTGTGACTGGGTGGAGAATATGCATAGATTATAGAAAACTAAGCAATGCCACTCGAAAGGACCACTTTCCCCTTCCCTTTATTGATCAAATGCTTGATAGATTAGCCGGACATGAATACTACTGTTTCCTATATGTCTATTCAGGGTATAATCAGATTGCTATAGCACTAGAGGACCAAAAGAAAACTACATTTACGTGTCCCTATGACACGTATGCATTTAAGAGAATGCCATTTGGTCTCTGTAATGCACCTACGACTTTTCAAAGGTGTATGATGGCTATTTTTACTAACATGGTTGAAAGATTTGTAGAAGTGTTCATGGATGGCTTTTCTGTGTTTGGGTGTTCTTTTGATAATTGTTTAATGAACCTTGATAAAGTGCTTGCTAGGTGTGAAGAGACAAATTTGGTGCTAAACTAGTAAAAGTGCCATTTCATGGTACGCGAAGGTATAGTCTTAGGACACAAGGTATCCAAAAATGGTTTGCAGGTGGACAAAGCAAAGGTGGAGGCGATTGAAAAATTGCCTCCACCGACATCCGTCAAGGGCATTCGCAGTTTCTTGGGCCATGTAGGTTTTTAGCGTCGTTTCATTAAAGATTTTTCAAAAATTTCTTCTCCTCTGTGCAGTCTCCTTGAGAAAGATATCCCATACAAGTTTGATGATACATGTTTGAAAGCATTTGAGGAGCTGAAGGGAAGATTGGTGACTGCACCAATTATTATTGCCCCGAATTAGGCGCAGCCCTTTGAGTTCATGTGCGATGCGAGTGACATAGAAATCAAAGCTGTTCTGGGGAAGAGAATGGAGAAATCTTTCACTTGATTTATTACGCAAGCAAAACTCTGAATCAAGCCCAGATGAACTACATTGTTACTGAAAAAGAGTTGTTTGCAGTGGTGTGGGTGTTTGACAAGTTCAGATCCTATCTAGTAGGAACCAAACTCATCGTCTACACAGATCACTTAGCTATAAGGTACTTGTTTGAAAAGAGAGACGCCAAGCCGAGGCTAATTAGATGTGTCTTTCTATTGTAAGAATTTGACTTAGAGATTCGAGATTGAAAAGGGACAGAGAATCAAGATTAGAAAATCGAAGCCATGTAGCTGAGGGGGTTCGATTAAGAAGATATTTCCGGATGAGCAGTTATTAGCAATCACCTCGAGTGAATCCCCGTGGTATGAAGATTACGTGAATTTTATTGCAAGCGGGGTGACACCATCAGAATTGACTCCCGATAATAGAAGAAGATTTTTACATGATGTGAGGCTCTACATGTGGGATGAGCCATTCTTATATAAGCAGTGCGCAGATCAGTTGGTACGAAGGTGTATCCCTGAGGAAGAGATGAATGCAATATTGTATGACTGTCATGCTTCTCCATATGGAGGTCATCATGGTGGGGATAGAACTGCCCAAAAAGTGCTGCAATCGGGCTTCTATTGGCCAAAATTGTTTAAGGATGCACACGCCTTTGTTAAAAAGTGTGACAGGTGCCAAAGAACCGGAACAATCACGAAGAAGCACGAGATGCCTTTGCAAAATATACTGGCAGTAGAGCTCTTTGATGGTTGGGGGATTGATTTTATGGGACTGTTCGCATACTCTAATGGTCATAGGTACATCTTGGTGGCGGTCGACTATGTGTCTAAGTGGGTGGAGGCCATTGCTCTTCCTACTAATGACGTAAAGTAGCGGTAAACTTTGTAAATAAACACATCTTCACATGCTTTGGGACTCCAAGTGTGCTGATAAGTGATGGAGGAACTCACTTCTGTAACAAATTGTTGAATAATGTTCTAGTAAAGTATGGAGTTAAGCAAAAGGTTGCCACCACCTATCACCCCCAAATGAGTGGTCAAATGGAAGTGTCAAACAAAGAGGTGAAGCAGATTTTGGAGAAAACGTTAAGTGGAAATAGGAAAGACTGGGCCGAAAAACTTGACGACGCATTATGGGCATATCGAACTGCATACAAGACCCCCATAGATACTTCTCCGTATAAGTTGATTTATGGGAAGGCGTGCCACTTGCCCGTCAAGCTTAAACACAAAGCCTATTGGGCGATTAAAAAGCTAAATATTGATATAGACTTAGCCGGTGAGAAGAGGTTGTTACAACTCAACGAGCTTGATGACTTTCGATTGCATGCGTACAAAAATGCCAAATTGTATAAAGAAAAAAACAAAAGGTAGCATGACAAGCACATCCATCATCGTGATTTTGATCCAGGTTAAGAAGTTCTCTTGTTTAATTCGAGGTTGAAGCTTTTCCCCAGAAAGTTTAAGTCTCGATGGGCAGGTCCTTTCGTTGTGGTAAGTGTGAGGCCTCATAGAGCGGTAGAATTGCGTGATACGAGCTCAAGTGGTACCTTCTTGGTAAATGGGCAGAGAGTAAAACATTATTGGGGTGGTGACATTGCACATCACAAGACCTCGGTGGACTTGGCCGATGCTTGAAAAACGTGTTGAGTCATGCCGCGACGTTAAATCAGGCACTTGTTGGGAGGCAACCAAATTTTTAATGCTTTCGTAGTTTAGTTTTCTTTGTTTTCTTTTCATCATAGTAGACTAGTTTTTTTTTCTTTGTAGTTATAGAAATCATAGGCGGGAATGATGTGGGTGTATATAATGGTGTGGGCTCCCCACGCTGCCCTGGACGCTCGGAACATGTCCTATTTTGACTAGGACTCGATTATTTCAACCCCAAGATGCCCCCAACTCATATAAAAGCCAACCTAAACTTATTTTGAGGGGGAGGACATGACTTTGAGAGAGAAAAAAAAGTACGAAACACTCGGGAGCACGGATTTGATCAATTCTTCCATTCTTCTTCTAGTATTCATTTATTTTATGTTTAAAAATATTATTTTTGATGATTGTATGAACAGGAGTGGCTAAGAACCCTATTGTTATAGGGTCATGGGTGCTACATGAATGTTGACGTTTGAAGTTGAAATTGACGAGTTTGATTTTATCATATTGGGTTGTTTATTTAATTCTGTTTTTAATTATTTTGCTGAGTAGCTAACAGTGAAATACTATCTATGAATCTAGAGTTGAACTCGAAAGTGGAAATTCTCAATTGCATATAGAATTAAATAGAGCAAGTTCTTGAACCCGGGCATCGGGGAACAGACTCGCAGTTAGGATAGAAATATACCTAATTGCCTTTCTTGGTTGAAATACAGGAATTATAAATGTATTCTTGTTAATCTTAATTCCATAGACATATAGGCATTAAGTTAGCTTGAATAGGCGAGTAAGAATTCGATAGATTCTTATGAGAAATATCAAGCCTGTCAATCAACAACCCAGATAAATAAATTAGTCATTTGCACCCAAAAACGCAGCAAAATTATTAGCTAGCCTATGACCCTGGAATACTCTCTCCCACTGATGTTTATTCAAAATTACTTAAGTGTTGTGGTTGATTTCCAATTATTTAATTAATAGTCTCTTAGGTAGTAAATTAGTCACTTACATATTTTTGTGAGAAATATCTTGAATCGATAAGTTATTTGAGTTTGAATCAGTCAAAAGTTAATTATATGTCTCCATGGGAATGATACTCTTCTCAATACTCTATTACTTGACGACCACGTATACTTGAGCTGAGTGTGTTTGGTCGTAACAATGAACTTCTCTGGAAATAGCTGTGAGAACTGATCCAAGGTAACTGTAGGCAAACCAGCAGATCTAGTCAACATATAATCTCTCCACAATCTCCGGGCAGAACCAGTCATCTGAAATGCTGAAATATCGACCCCATTGGTCTCAGCTATACCCATATTGCGCAACACCTAGTGGCAATTGTCCAGGAAATCTTGCGGGTCCTCGGAAGATGCACCACTGAAATGAACAGTAAAGAGCTTGGTAAACTTATCCAACCTCAACATAGCCTCAGAAGACAAAGCGGGCCTATCATCGGCCTGTGCCGCAACAACCGGCTGAACCACCTCAACTGGCTGGGCTGCTGAAGTCTGATTAGGGGATCCACCTGCTTTAGAGTGTGAGTAGCAGGAGTCTGTGCTCCTCCCCCAGCCTGAGAGACGGCTGGTGCCACTGGGAATGCACCGGTCTGGGCCACACTCTCCATAAGGCCCACCAAGCGGACAAGAGCGTCCTGAAGCATTGGAGTGGCTATGAATCCCTTTGGGACCTGGGTTGTTCCGACGAGTATGGTCTGAGCTGGAACCTCCTCATCTAAATCTACCTGAGGCTCCATTGCGGGTGCTGCTGCTCGAGCTCTAGGCTGAGCTCTGCCTCTGCCTCAGCGTCTGGCCTGACCTGCCTCGACCTCTGCCCCTGGTTGTAACTGCCACTATGGGTTCTGGCTCATATCCTACTATTGATGCTGTGAGTGTTCTTGCCATCTGCGAGAGAACAAAAATAGAATGGTTCAATCATCAATGATAGAATAAAATCGCACGATAGATAATGAAAGAAGTGAAATTTGTTTCCTAAACTCCATATCCATTGGGAGATAAGTACATACGTCTCTGTATAGATCCTCCAGACTCTACTAAGCTTGCTCATGATTCGTGAGACCTAGGCAACCTAGTGATGTGATACCAACTTGTCGCGACCCGGAATTTCCACCATCGGGACCGTAATAACGCCTAACATTTTACTTGCTAGGAAAGCCAACGTTAGATGTATTTATAATCTACTTTTAACAAACTTCAAATACGATGACAATACATAAGTTGAATAGTCTGAAACAAGATAAATAAGCTAATAAGTGACGAAATTCAAATACAACCCCGGATCTAGTGTCACGAATACATGAACGTCTAAGATATACAGATAATGGTCTGAAATAAACATAATTGTCTGAGTCAAATAAACATGTTAAATGAAATATAAGGGGACTTCAGAGCTGCGGACGCCATGCATCTATACCTCAAGTCTCCTTTGGGTAGCTGGATCCGAGCAAGTCTACGGTACGCCACTGAGACCAACTCTGGTATCTGCACAAAAAGTGCATAGTGTAGTATGAGTACAACCTACCCCATGTACTCTATAAGTGTCGAACCTAACCTCAACGAAGTAATGACGAGGCTAAGACAGATCACTTACATTAACTTGTACGCAATAATAATGATAATAATAGAAAGACAAGAATAGAAGTAAAGCAGGTAACTCATAACAATGAAACTCAAATCAACCAGCAGAGAGTCCCGAATAACCGGTCATATAACTCATCTCAACAACCGGGGCCAATCCAACAGTCACAAAAAAATATTACTTCTATCAATATGTTGCGGCGTGCAACCCAATCCCACAATATCAACTTTAAACTATTCGGTACGGCGCGCAACTCAACCCCCATATAAAATCATCCGTGAATTTCATAGTCCATCCTTATTCTGACATTTCAATTCATTGGCTTTCAATTTCTATTGCGGCGTGCAACCTGCTCCTCAAACAATATTAATTAAAAATAGTAACTCAATAACTAAGATTTACAAGAAATCATACATCAAGAGAACAAATGTACGAGCAATGGATAATAACATGATAATCAAAGAGACTCGAACGACTCGGATGCCTCAACTTTACCAACTCAACGGTATCTATTTTTAACAATATGTACAAGTGAAACTACTTCAATGAGGGCAACAATTAATACGAAACTATAAGGCAATAAGGCATAAGACAATTTAGATATATGAGGAAAACAAATAGAGACCAATAGTAAATAAGCATGGAATCAGGGAGGGGATGGACAATTTAATACAAGAAATACTAAATGGCAACTAGTAATTATGGCATGGAAGTCAAATAAGCATATAGCAATTAAGGAATGAAACAAGACATAATATGAAGCAATGAGGATGGGGAAAGCAAGTAATGTAACAGTTAAGTAATGGAACAAAGTAATTAATGAAATACGGGAAAGCATGGAAACAAGTAATTTGACGGCGTATATACACTTGTCACCTCGCATATACGCCACTACACATATAATTCAAATAGCACATAGCTCAAGAGTTCCTAATTCCCTCAAATCAAGGTTAGACCCCATACTTACCTCACTCCGCAATCAACTTAAAGTTCAACCACGGCCTTGCCTTTCGAACAAGCATCCAAACCAATCAAATCTAGCAAATTATTAACTAAACGATTCAAAATAAGCCTTAGAAACTACCCACGAATGAAAGAGGTTCAATTTAGATCATTATTGAAAAAGCCAAAAATAGTCAACCCTGGGCCCGCTTGATCAAAACCAAAGGTTCAGACCAAAATTCGATCACCCATTCACCCCCGAGCCCGGTTATGCAGTTCAATTCGAAATCCGACCTCAATTCGAGGTCTAAATCCCAATTTTACAAAAATTCCTAATTCTACCGAAATTCCTAATTTCTACCATGAAAATCTTAGATTTGATGTTAAAAATTTATGAAATGTAATGGGTAATTGAAAAGGAATAGATTAAAGTCACTTACCAATGAATTTAGGAAGAAAAGCTCTTAGGAAAATTACCTCTAGGGTTGTTTAGGGTTGAAAGTTTGAAAGAAAGAAATAAATTCTCGTTTTTTCCTCTTTTACCCAGCTGCAGTTATCGCACTTGCGATACATAGTTCGCAATTACGATGATCGCAAAGACGATCAACCCTTCGCAAATACGAATAAGTCACTGAGTCTATCGCAAATGCAAACTAAGGCTGCCGCAAATGCGAACAATTGACTCGCAAATGCGAGTCTGCCTCAGTCTCCCTTTAGTCGCAAATGTGACTCAAAAGTTCGCAAATGTGAACATGCCCCCTTCGCATCTACGGACTTCTTTTCGCTAAAGCAAAGCTGACCCAGCCCCTACCAACTTCGCATATGCGAGCCTGACCTCACATTTGCGAGGCTTGCATTTGCGAACAGGTCCTCGCAAATGCGAGATATGCAGACTTGATGCACCAACACTCTTTTAAGTTCAAAAATTACTCTGTGGCCTATCCGAAACTCACCCGAGCCCCTCGGGCTCCAAACCAAATATGCACATAAGTGTAATAACATCATAAGAACTTGCTCGCGTAATCAAAACACCCAAATAACACCTACAACTATGAATCGGATACCAAAACAAATAAAATTTCAAAGAAACTTAAGAAATTCGACCGGACGTCCGAATCATGTCAAATTAACTCCGTTTTGCACCAAAATTTGCAGACAATTCATAAATAATGAAAGGATCCTATACCAAATTTCAAAACTGTAATCCGAACCCGGTAGAAATAAAGTCAACCTACGGTCAAACATAGGAATTCTTTAAACCTTTAAACTTCTAGTTTTCAACAAATTACGTTAAATCAAGTTAGGGACTTCCGAATTCGATTCCGGGCATACGCACAAGTATCAAATCATGATACGGACCTATGGGGACCGTCAAAATATTGATCCGGGTATATTTACACAAAACGTTGACTGTAGTCAACTCAAATAGGTTTTTAAGGCTAAATTTTACTTTTTCATAGATTTTTCACATAAAATGTTTTTGGAAAAATATAAGAACTGCGCACGCAAATTGAAGAAGGCTAAACGGAGCTATTCGAGGTCTCGAAGCACAGAAATGAAAGGTAAAACTATAGATGACCTATCGGGTCATCACAACGTGTCACCAAAAAGTACACTTGATCTGAGTGCGGGAAATTCACAATTTCGCGAATACAACTTACATTGCTTTTTGTACAAGCGCCTGTAGCACGTGTTCGTCCCCTCAAACTCTCATTTCTAAATAATAGAAAAGAAATAATAACTACAATTGTATTTGTATGTATAAAATTAAAATTCTGAATTATTTGTATGAACGTACATGTGCATACACACGGAGCTAGCGTATAGAACTAGAAATAAAAAATACGAAGAGGTCTAATTTTGTTGGACTAAGACATTTTTCTCTCTCTTTACTTGATGGCTTTTTTGGCAAACATATCTTTCCATAACTGGAAATTATACCTCGATCCATTGAAGAAAGAAGTAGTTTACTTCATTGCTTTTTCTACACCAACAAAATAAATGCAGAATATTCTTTTTTCCCTAAAGTGTGAGCATAGTATTTCATTTGATTAGAAAATGTACAGTTATTAGCAATCATGAAGAACATTGGCAGAGATATATGCTGCACACGTTGTGTTGGGCAAAGATTGCATGACCTAACGAATCATATGCTACTCGGCCTTTGAATTTAGTTTTGATTAAAATTTTGGGGATATTATTTTTTGGACAAATTTTTGCAAAATGTCTTTACCGAGAATATTTACATTTGAGTTCTTTTTAGTTCTTAAAAGTTATTAGTCTTTTCGAAAATAATTAAAAAAAATTGTTTTTATTTTGCAAAAAATTATAAATCAAACCCATACAAATATTTTATTTTACATATCTATTTATATATAAAAGGAGAAACAAATCCATGATGTTATGTCAAGTGTCACAATGAAATATCAACACGTATCATGTTTTAAGACAAAACTTCGATAAATTTGGATATTCAAAAAAAAATTAAACTAGAAACAAACTTACAAAAATTTAAAGAATTAACGTTCAGATATTTTTTAAAACTGAACACTAAAAAAATAATTACTCCAATTCCAGAAAATGGACTCCCGCATTTTTTTCATTAGTTTTTTTATTTAACTGCATATCGTAAAAGCAAAATTCGGCAACCGTACAATATAATCTAAGACACATTTTGGAAATTCTTTTTGTGGAAGTTATCAGATTCAGTTTATTATAAAAACTTCAGCCCATCATTTTGTATCTATCCCGCTCCTTTTCTTCAATTCGCGAATGAAAGTTACGGAGTTGGGTTCACGATTAGAGTTAGGGTTTGACTTTAATGTTCATGCAGGGAATTATCGTTGGGTTCCAACAAGTGAAAGGATAAAAGTGAATCTACCATTATAGCTGCTTTCCCAAAATTCGATTCATATAGGATAGTTGCCATGGTAGAACAAGCATTCAAAAGGTAAGATTTGAGATCAATAGATATATTGATCTCTGTTTTGTTTTTCTGAAAATTTTATTTTTATCAATTTTGGAGATCGTGGTTGCTAAAGTTTGTTTATTTTCATCTGTTACTTGCAAAGGCTGACGCAGAACAAACTTGATGTTTTGCCTTCACTGTGTGACCTAACCGAATAACATTTAAAATCTATTTTTTTCTTACAGGAATTGGTGCATCCCTTACTTCTTTCTCACTGGAAAAACTATAAATTTATAACTGCGATTGCGGCTGGTAATAAGATCTCCCACTCTGATTTGAAGTACTTTCACAGTTCAATTCTCTTGCTATTATTGACTAACCAACTTCTTCTTCACACAAACTTTTCATCTACAAAGGTCATAATACTCTCTCAGGTTTGTAAATATTCTGTTGGTAATATGTCACAAAAAGTTTTTGGTTTCTTTCTTTAGATGCTAAATACTCGATGCATTTACAACTTAAGTGATCACCACCCTTTTTTCACATTTACTTCACATCCATGTGCAGGTTCGTAAATTAATCGATTATCTTATGCAGTTCTTTTTTATATCATGTTGCTCCTGCATTTGAAGCTCATGTCATCCAAGATACAAGAGGCAAGAGGTAACTTTGTTTTCACTACTTTTGTATTTATGCCTTTCTTTCAAACATTTGATTGAATTGGATAATTGATGCAGTTACTATGTTATACATATGTAGCATTATTATCCTTGTGGGGGAAAAAATACCAGTATAATTTGCAATAAAGGAAGATGCTTTTCACGATAACTTTCTTGCGGAGGACAGTACTATTTTAGATTTTTTGGGTGTAAAAGTAGGCCATATTTTTTCAGTATAAAAAAGTTGTCAATCACGTTAAATGTTAGATTGATAAAGAGTTGGGATAAACGTAAAGTTTTTCAATTGTTCAAATTGAAGATTGTTACTAGCCACCTATTTTTCTAATACATGTAAATAGGCTAATAGATATGGGCTATAGCGTCTCATTGTAATTATATCTTCCTTAGAGTTTGTTCGTAGGATTCACGTTCAAAAAATTGTAGTAACTGTTCAGGTAAAAATACTGACTATTATAGCTTTCTTCGTCCGATAATTAAGTTCTCTAATTTGGTTTTATAGTTAAGTTGTGAATATTGGTTCCTACTGAAAAGGTTGTTTATTGATCTACTTCGATTCCCGTCATCAATGTTAGCAACTGCTGTAATTTTTACTGCGCAATGCACTCTCGGTGTGTCTAAGGAGTAGAAGAAAACCTGCTTGGGTAGCTTTTGTTATTGTTGGAGTATACAAACAAGATATAGTAAGCAAGATAGCAAAACACTGTAAATTTATGGCATGAAGAGAGCGGTAGTTGTCCATTTTGAAGGTTTGCAATAAATGAGTCCTCTTGGTAAGTTTTTTTTTTTTTGTATTGTGTATATAAGCTTGCACTTGGCTTTATCAATCATGCAATGTGAATGGACAGGGCCGGGAGCAGTCCTTGATGTTACAACAACAACAACAACAACAACAACCCAGTTTAATCCCACTAGTGGAGTCTGGGGAGGGTAGTGTGTGCGTAGACTTTACCCCTACCCTGGGGCAGAGAGGCTGTTTCCGATAGACCCTCGGCTCCCTTCCTCCAAGAATTCTCCACCTTGTTCTTGGGGTGACTCGAACTCACAACCTCTTGGTTGGAAGTGGAGGGTGTTTCACACTAGAACAACCCACTCTTGTCCTTGATGTTACAACTGAAAAGATTAAAAAATTCTCTTTTGACCCACATAAGAATCTTTTTTCTCTTCTTCTAGCACAACGATGGTGGCTCCTTTGGACAAATTTAAACCAAAGTATGTTCTGCAATTGATCTGAGATCAATACATATATTCTCTGTTTTGTTTATTTTAAAAATTTTAGTTTCTAAATATTTGGACATTGTGATTGCTAAAGTTTGCTTCTTTTTTTATTTGTTACTTACAAAGCCTAACGTAGAACAAATTTGAAAAGATGAACATTCTCAAGCACATCTCAATTGTTGTTGCATTTTGACTCTAAAAGAAGAAAATAAGAAAAATCATTAGGTTTCTCATCATAAAATACAATAACTAATATTCGTGTATCATTGCAGTTGATTTTGGTAAACCTTGCTGCACTTTACAAAACCTGCAAGGGAGAGCCGGAGTACAATATTGAGGTACTAAGGCGTGTGCTTTCAGGTGAAGAAAAGGGGCCAATTGCTAATACATTGGTAAGTCATTATATTTTCTTGGATCCTTTCAGGCTAAGTCATTATACTAGAATTGTACCTATTTTTGTCTTATGCTATACCTGGAACTTGCACGATTGTAGCACCCTGAAAAATTTCGAAGTGCTTAAACTCTATTAAGAAAGTTGATGTGTGCTAATTATATTATTTTGTGAGCAAACGATGACTATTAATATGATGCATATTAATTGGATATGATAATAAGTGTACGAGGCATATTATAAGTGATGTGGGGTCTAAGGATAGCCC